AGACGAACGAGAGCACAAAGCTTGTTGCCTGAGGACGAGCAGCTCGGTGCCGCTCTCCTTTCCTCGTCACGCTTGCTCCTACAAACGTCGAGTTGCGGCAACAAAAATCGCGGTGTATAAATGAGCTCTTACAGGTTTTAACACGAACTTGCAGTAACCCAATAAACACTAAAAAAATATTTCTCCAACCTTGGAGAAATTCATAGTTCTCAAGTTGATATCTAACATCATTCTCCAACTCATCTCTAACAAACGCCCAGATAGAGAAACTAATTTTATTAATCATCAAGTGATTAATTATTATCAAGTGAAAAACTAAAGCCATATAAAGAGGAAAATTACCAACAAAAAGTAAATAATCTTCAAAATATCCTGAAATAATCTTGAAAGAAAATAAAACGCCAAGTGAATCAAGTGGCAAAATTACTGTCGGACTGTGTACTGTGAAGTGAATTATTGTAATACGATTTTGCTTAACTACATAATACAAAAGAAGTAATAAAATGAAAAATTAATATTCAAATTCATCTTTGTATGTCGTTTCAATCAAAGAGGTATAAGGTATTTTACTATTTCAATGATATATTTGAGACCAATTGGAGAATTACATTGGACTTCAAGTTGAGAACTAGCATTTGTTGAGAACGCTATGATCCTCCACTTGAGGTACTGTTGAGAAACAACGTCAGAGATTTGAGAAATACCTTAGTTCTCAGCTTAACCTCAAGTTGAGCTAAAACTAAATGTTTATTGGGAAGTTACAGAAAAAATGATCCCGTACTCCAAATTCCGGGTTGGGTTCAGAAAAGTATCTGTTTGTTCGAGGCTGGTACAAAAAAATTAAGCCGGATTGGCACCACCAACCTTTATAGCTTGAAAGACCAAATTCCAAGGAGTTCAATGGTATGCTTTTCTTTCTCCTCCGACTACGGGGCTTCTCGGGCGAGCCTATTCAAAATCGGGAAAAAATCGTTGCTTTTGCTCACAAAATGCCACAACTGTTCAAAACACACCAAATAAATAGTGCTTATTTGCTCGGATTTAGTTACTCATTAAACGTAGATGCAATATAGCACTTTGACACAAGATCAAGCGCTAATGAAAGAAAGAAAAAAGTGATTTTCTAGCTGTCGAAATCTCGCCGCCATCTTTTTTGTAAGAAGTCAACAACGAAGAAAACCGCGTAATTGTTGAACGCATGAATAATCATTTATATTAATCAAATTCTTCTATAAACCATGTCGTTGTGTTAAATTATTCTTTACCTTATGTGTTCACGCGTTGTCACAAGCGAATATGAAGAAATTTCCAGTAAAAATCCACCACCAAACGAACAAACGTAAACAAACGGCTAATGTCAAAATCGCCCAACTTTATTCCCAAATGCGATTATAACGGGCTACCGGTTTGCTGGCGTGATCTTGTATTTTAGGTTCATGTCGTAGTAATTGCTACTCCACCAAAGGGCCCTGTCGGTGGGGTGCAATAACACCATACGCAATAAGGCCATAATGGCTTTATTTCGCTTTGCGATTGGCGCGAGTGCAGTGCAGCGAGACGCGGGGGTCATGAGCGCAGCGCGACCGGGCGCGGTGCGCGGAGCCAGCAAATGTGCACCCGCAAGGTTATGCACTCGCAAAATTAAAACTTACCTAAGAACAATATCCAATAAATCCGGAATTATTAAATAATTATTTATTTCATTTTATTAGTAATAATTTGTATCAATTTAAATAATTCAGTATTAATTTCAAATATTTTTCACTTTTGCCTCAATTTAATTCAGTATCAACAACTGGTGAGAGCCTTTACACACACATTTGGTACGTTAGGTAGGTAGGTAGAAGTGGCTGCCACCCTAGAGGCACACTTAGGCCATAGATAGAAGGCCCATTGTATTACCACAGTTGACACCGTTCAATTATCCTCCCCATTGAACCACTTCGTGTCGCTGATGAATCTCATCAGGCACCTCGCATCGGTATTTGAAACCTTCCTAAGGTCGGTCAGGAATGGTGAACCCAGATGACGCAGACTGCTTCTGCAACATCTACGAAAAGGCACCCCTTTCTGCATGGCACGCCTTTCTGCATGCCATCATGCATCAAGCAGGGCCCGGTTAGGGCCCCAACGTCGTTAGATATGTCCTCCCTTCTAAGAGAGTAAACGCCTCCGGTCCCATTTAGGCCAAGTCTGCCTGGAAATTCGACAAGTCGTACTTTGACTCCATCTTTCTTCAGCTTGTTTATAAACTAATTCACTAATTAGCAGTTTGCAAGTGGCAAAAGGCATACCAATGCGTTCTTTACTAGGAAGAATCTCCCCGGTCGTGCCTTGCCTTGCAAGTTCATCTGCCATGCAGTTTCCCTCTATGTCCCTATGAACAGGGACCCAAGTGAGGTGAAGTCTGTTCTGCTTGGCTATCTCCTGTAGAGATAGGCGGCAGTGCAGCGCAATCTTTGAGTGAAACGTGAAGGAGCTCAGAGCTTTGATTGCAGCCTGGCTATCACTTAATGAAGATGTGCCTTCCCATCATTTCGGTTCCAAGCTTCTCAACAGCATATCAAATTCAAAAATTTTGTACGCCCAAGTATGATAGACATTTTATTTTATTATATAAATATATGTATATTGTTTATAAATGAATTATATTTTTTTAAATCATATGATATCGATTCTTTCTTAAACATCGAACATTCCTACTTTCAACTTCTCATTCAACTTCGCATTCCACTTTTGTTGCCTGTAAAATCGCCTCGTGCGAATGCCCTAATAGTGAAAAAGTTGCCATCCTAGGGCTTTCGCTCGAGGCGATTTTTCAGGCAAATTCTAGTTGAAAGAAAAAATCGCTTCTTCCGAACGGCTTTTCAAATAATCGCTTTCAACAAAGTTGGTCGCCAGCCAACTTTGAGCTCGTTCAACTTTATTTTCCTTGCAACCCTGTGTTTGTTTACATTCTGTATACATACTTTTTTTCTTTTTTACTTTTATTTTATCTTTCAGCTTCGCTAAAAGCACTTGTACCAATGCTTGGCTTACAAAATTTACGCCAATTGATACAATTTTGCGATTTAAATTCATTTTCAATAATGTAAATAAAATTTCGTGTTGAATCGAAAATCGCCTCGTCTGAATAGGGATGGCTACTTTTTCACTTTCAACTTCTCATTCAACTTCGCGTTCAACTTTTGTTGCCTGTAAAATCGCCTCGTGCGAATGCCCTATCCCTATTCAGACTAGGCGATTTTCGATTCAACACGAATTGTTATTTACATTATTGAAAATGAATTTAAATTGCAAAATTTTATCAATTGGCGTAAATTTGGTAAGCCAAGCGTTGGTAGAAGTGCTTTTAGCGAAGCTGAAAGATAAAATAAGGGCCTGTGCCAATTGATAGAAAAGTTCTATGGTGGAAAAACTTTTTACTATGGTGAGAAAATTTTACATTTCTGCTGTGCCAATTCGTAACTTTTTACTGCTGGAAATTTTTGACAGTTGCTTTGATGCACAAGAAGACTATCGAGTTTGCTATTTATAAAATGCAGCAATTATATAGAAAATATTTGCCTTTGATGATTTCAATTCTTCTGGAACTAAAATCCATGCATTTGTTAGACCTTTTAGCAGTAATATTAGAAATAAAAACACGTCAAAACTGTCTGGTAAGTGTGTTCACAAAAATGTTTAAAACCGTGTACAATTGTTTCCAATAAAAACATATGTCGTTTTAGGGTATTATGTAAATGCAACAAGACGTTTATTCCAAAATACTAAGCAGCATTATGAACGGCGATAACAAGACTACAAAAATGTATCTTAGGTTGTTCTCTGCTTCGTTTCGAAAAATTGTAACTCACATTCCCAAAAAGCGCCACGGATGGTCAGTGGAGTACGAAGTCATTTGCTTAATAAAGTCTTCAAATTATTTATATTGTTCTTAAGCTCGTCGGCGATTTAAAGCATCCGTTGTTGGTTACCCGAGCAACCGAGGCAATCGGAGATCGTCGTGTCACACGTACTTGTTGTCGGCTCGTGTTGATGGAAAATCAAAAATTTTTGATTTTCCATCAACGCGACCGCTTGACAAGCGGTCTGTTTGATAGTGGCGCAAAGCGTTGTCAAGCATTAGTGTGTTAGTTTGTTGTGATATGTAAAATGAGCAAGTTCGCGGAAGATAAAGATTTTACGTTTGCGTTTGCGGTTGATGTTTTGTATATAAACTTTTCATCCACAACTTTTTCTTTTTAGTCTTTCTTTTTTTTTTTCTTTTTTTCTAATAAAACTACTGCAGTGGCAAGTAGCAAAAAATCGTCATCCGATGAAGACATGTTTACGTCCGCCCACTACGAAATTTTATTGCAAATGGTGTTGACGCTTTATGCTTGAGTGTCGCCGGGCAAGCTTCAAGCACCCGACATTCAACCCGACACTCACACATGTACTCGTTGCCAACAACGGATGCTTGAAATCGCCGACGAGCTTTACTCACTTCCAGCCTTCGTTGCTGTTGGCGTTCTTTGAACTGAACCAAACATCCTTGTCAATGCGCTTTTCCAGAAGGATTCTGCGTTCTGAACTGCTCCCTGTAAAATAGTATTTTTAATTAAAAAATACATAACGCCTTTTCATATGTAAATCTGAAATTAAATCTTACAAGTTATATAGCTTTTCTTTATTTTTTTTGCCGGCGGGACCATGTTCTTTTATTTCCACTAGCTTTTGCTTTCTTTAATTTATGTGTTTACGTGCGTTGTTCGTTCTTCTTCTTGATAATGCCCTCAGGCCCTGAAAGCGAAAAAGAAAAAAGTATGTATACAGAATGTAAAAAAAAACAGGGTTGCAAGGAAAAAAAGTTGACTGGCGACCAATTTTGTTGAAAGCGATTAGTTTAAAGGCCGTTCGGTCGAGGCGATTTTTGCTTTCAATTAAAAGTTGCCTGAAAAATCGGCTCGTGCGAAAGCCCTATATCATGCATTGCGTGTGTGTAGCCAACATATCCATAGCATCGAAAAGTTCTGTGTTATCGATGACACTTGCAGATGCCGGTAATTTATCTGAGATCGCTATAGATTTCAAGGCTTTTGTTGGGTTTTGATAAAACAGGTTCATGCAGTTTTGTTAAGTTCTTTTATTTAAGATTTGTAAAAAAATATGTCCGACGATGAGGATCTTCAATATGTTAAAAGGCAACGAACAATACATTATGGTTCTCTGGAAGAAGTCGAGAGAAAACGTCAAGCTGGGGCTCCTATTGCGGGTGGTAGCTCTACGGCAATTTCATCTACATCAATTTCTGGTGGGGTAACGAATCAACTTGAGGACATCGACTCTGACGAAGATTATGAGGAAGTAAAGAAACCATCGGCGTCTCTGTTGCCGCCTACTTCAGGGGCTTTGGCTAACAAGATCGATGATGACTACTTTGACTTGGAAACTGAAGTAGCCAAGGACAAGGAAGCTCTACTCAAAGAATTTGAACGTAAAAAACGTGCACGCCAAATAAACGTTTCCACAGACGATGCTGAGATAAAAGCCAATTTGCGGCAGCTTAATGAACCAATATGTTATTTTGGTGAAGGGCCAGCAGAAAGACGGCGGCGGTTAAAGGAATTATTGGCCAGCTTGGGAGAGAACGCAATAAAGCAAAAACAGACAGAAGAAGAGGAGCGAAAACAACTTCAAAAAGAACAGGAAACAACATGGTATCACGAAGGACCAGAAGCTTTGCGTATAGCAAGAATTTGGATTGCTGACTACTCATTGCCACGTGCAAAAGAACGATTAGAACATGCCCGCTCCCAATTGGATATACCAAGCGCGACTCGTGCTGGGCGTATGGTTGAACTTCAAAAGCGTTTACATTCTTTAGCACCACAGTGCAGTCAAGTGGGAGATACGCGCCCAGTTAGTGGAGTAGCTTTTAGCGAAGATTCGATGTTACTACTGACGTCGTCATGGTCAGGGTTGTGTAAAGTGTGGACAGTGCCCGATTGCAAGCTATTGTTAACACTTCGCGGCCATGCTAGCTATGTAGGAGGCGTTGCATTTCGATCAGGTGTATCACAAGAGGATGGAAATGTTGTGGCAATGGCTTCTGGAGGACATGATGGAGCAGTTAAGTTATGGGGATTTAATTCTGAGGAATCACTCGCAGATATAACGGGTCATATGCCACACCGAGTTTCTAAAGTTGGATTTCACCCGTCTGGTCGATTTCTGGCAACTGCATGCTACGATTCCTCATGGCGACTGTGGGATTTAGAACAGAAAACAGAAGTTTTGCATCAAGAAGGCCATGCTAAAGCGGTTCATAGCCTAAGCTTCCAAACAGACGGTAGTGTTATAGTAACCGGCGGATTGGATGCGTTCGGGCGTGTGTGGGACCTAAGAACAGGTATAACGAATTTAGTTTGATGTCATAGTGTATACTAGGTATGTTTCGAATATTTTCATTCGCATTCGTTTATGCGAATCATTTGCATAATTTTTTACTTTTTCATCGACATTCCACCTAGCCAAGATGGTTATAATAATTGGCTTTTGGGTTCAGACGCTAGAAGGTTGAAGAGTATAAAAAGTAACATTGGTTAACTTCCAACTAGTTCTGTTTTAAAAGCAATCTAATTTTATTATTTGGTATTAAAGCCCCTCGATGAAAACACTGTATGCTGTAATCCGAATCGTCGTAGTTACGAATTCGTATTTCTGTTCCGATAAATCGAAAATTGGGATGCTGTAAACGTAACTTATCAACAGCACTGCCGGCTAAAAGCGCGAAATTCAAAGTTCTTAATCAGCAGAACAGAAACAAATTAAAATAAATATAATCGCAAGTGAATGGTGAAATTAAAAAGAGGATCTTAGTCGTTATTTGAAAAAGATTTGCCTTAATTAAGTAGAATACAATGGAATCGGTGGCTGGAGCACTTTTGTCTCCGGCGGAATAATTTTCTGCAGCTAACAGTTGCATTAATATACAAAAGAGATTGCTAGTAGTTCTGATCCATTTAGCTTGTGAAAAATTTCAGCGTCAACGAAGACGCATTTAAAAGCGTTTTAATGATTATGGAGGATGAGCTTGGGCGAAGTGTAAGATCATCGTCGGTAGATTGATGGTAGTTTTGAGATTTTTCTCTCCAGGAAGCTACCACCATGGTGTTGGGAAAAGATTTTGGTGTGGGGTTGGCGCAGTCCACGTTCTCTAAAACATTGACAAAAACTTAAACATACATACATACATACATACAAAGCCTCGAATTGCGACTCATGTAATATGATTTTCGACCTGATATGCTGGAAATATTTAATAATAATCAATTTTTTTTCTATTTACACTTTAACTCACATATTTTTGCGTTTACTCACTTTATTTTATTACAACTTTAAAAGAATTTGCTTCGTTTCGACGCCAGTTACTCGTCGTACAAAAATTTTCCGAAAACCTACATCGGATTCGGGCATACCAACATTACGAATTTCGAAGATGGCCTCCGAATTTCGAAATTACGATACGACAACGCGGATTTCAGCATACCAAGTTTATGATTCGTAGCAAAATCGAATCTACGACGGATTACAGCATGGGGGTGTAAACTAACATACGAAAAATTTACAGATTTTCTTCTTAAATATTTATACACTCCACTCGCCAGCGTTCTTAGTAAGCAATTGTTCATGGACGAAAATACGGAATATTTGCTATTTTCCAATGTGGAATATATGATATTCGTAACATCCCTAGTATGCACCCACGGTGGAGAGAATACAGAAGGTTGCGCTGATGGCAATGCCGCTAATCGGCTCTCAGTGAATTTCACAGAATCAGCTGTTTTGCTGACGTCACAGTCGAGATGACTGCAGTAGTGATGTGCTGAGTCAATACTTTTAAGTATCCAATACTCTCGATACTCGGTACCGAAACATTTAGGTTTCTAATAAAAGCGCACATAGGCCAAAAATATAGAAAAAACGGTTTAAGTGAGACTCGCCTATCAAATCCCGAATGTAGGAGCCAGTAGAGCTTTTAATACTGATTCAACGACAAATTCTGTAACCAGTTAGCGACAATTTTCGAATCGGTAACGGTTTTGTTGACATATGATATGAAATATTTTTACGTCAACAAGTGCTATATCGATCCGAAACTTGTCGTACCTGGTTACAGAATCTCCCCCCACTGGAGTGACAGTCCTTGGCCAAATATAAATCTGGGTCGTTCCGGTTACGTAGACCCGACTGTCGTAGGAACGGTTGTCGGTCGAACTACCTGTTCTATGCGAGTTTTCGAAATGTACAGATAATCCTTATGAGTTTCATTTCCCCTAACGGGTTCATTTTTTAACCGACTTCTAAAAATGAGGAGGTTACCAATTCGTCCGAATATTTTTATTTTTTTTTTTACGTATGTTACCGCATCACTTTCGACCACGATAACTGATTTCTATAATTATACTTTAAAAGGAAATGTGGACCTCAGAGGTGGTCCCTTATTAAATTGGTTTAGCTAATTGGGTCATTTGATCATGAAGAAGTTAACGGTACTCTTAAATTTTTATATGAGAATTGAAGTCGGTATTTTTTTAAATTAAAAATTACTTGTCACTTCGTTTCCGCGTATTTACTGAAACTGATTTTGAGAAACTTTTTCGACACTGAAATTTAAGAAATTAGACTTAGCAGCATTTCTGTCTAAACTAGCGATATTTATTGAAATATGAATGACTACACCAAAGATTTTTTAAAATATTTCAGGTCGTTGCGTAATGTTTTTAGAAGGTCATTTGGGCTCTATTTTCGGAGTAGATTTTTCGCCAAATGGATTCCACATAGCCACCGGCTCGCAAGATAATACATGTAAGATTTGGGACTTGCGACGCCGACAGCCTGTTTACACTATACCTGCGCATACAAATTTAATATCGGACGTTAAATACCAGCGGGATGGCGGAAGTTTTCTTGTTACATCTTCCTACGATTGCACTACAAAAATATGGTCAAACAAAACATGGCAACCATTAAAAACTTTATTGGGACATGATGGAAAAATAATGGCCGTAGACATTTCCCCGAATTCTCAGCATATTGTGACGGCTTCATTCGATCGTACCTTTAAGCTTTGGGCGTCGGAAAGCTGATGCCAATGAATGTCATTTTTCGAGTTTATATGAATGCCTTATGACTCATTACACTACGTAACAGTGAAATTTATCTTTGAACTCAAAATATCGAAAGATGTGGCTGTAAACTCTAACAGGTAGTAAAACCCACACAGTTAAAGTTTTAAATTCACCCTTGAAAAGTGAAATAGGATGACATCCAAATTTAGAGACGCAAACCCGTTTTTCGCGAGTTCGACAGTGAATCGCTTACAATAATTCACCCAAATTCATTTATAAATCGAACATTTGTTTGAAATTTTCACTTTATAAAACTCTTTAAGTCTGTTTTATTTTTTATGAACGAAGTCATTAAACTAATTAAAAAAGGGCGAATTTTTAGTGTATTTGAAATTTCCAGTATCCTTTTTATACTCGGTTGTTTCTAACAGTCAAAATGAATCCAGACAGATATAGACAAATGTATATATAACGCCCACATCCCATATAACGATAATTTGAGGAATTGCGAAATCGTCGATAAATCAGTAAATACTAAAGCTAATTTATGCAAAATTGATGTTTGCAATAATTCTTTAGCGAAAAATACGTGGGCCCCGCCCACTTATGACCATATACATATGTGTATCTCGATAACCGCTCGATCAACTTGCATCAAACTCGGTATGATTATTGGTCTTTCCACGTAAAAACAAAAAGTTGAAAATCATTGAAATCGGTATAAATTTACGCTCACTTTAGGTAAATTTCAAAAAAGCTTGAAACTTCGAAATTTAAGGAAGCGAATTTACTCGAAATTGAAAAGAAGTAATACTTTTATGGAATTTTAAAAATGGGCGTGTTACCTTCCACATATAACTACATAAGTTCATCTCATTATGTCTAACTGAACGTTCTATCAAAGATGTTTGAAATAGGGGTAAAACCACCCCTGCTTACCACGTAGCGGTAATTTTCGTAAAGGTGAAAAAAATATAGTGAATACTTGCGCCGGGTATTTAATGCGCGGCTCAGCCCGAACTTAGACTTTTTACCTGTTTAGTACGCAGCTTCTGCTATATTGCGTTCAAATAAAATTTCGTTACGTAGTGTTATCAGTAATCATTACCAATCACTCCAAAAGAACATAATTGTTTTCTTACTGTTAAATATACTAATGTTAACATGTTA